TTCATGATACAGCATTCATTCCCCGATGCGACGCCTGGAGGTCCCGTCACTGGTCTCACTCACCAAATTGTATGTCTGGACACTTTGTTGATTGTTCTTAAGAACATTGCGGACAGGCGACCTGTGGACGATGGACAGACCGAGTTGCTAACTCCCGAGTCGCTGTTGGAGAATAAGCAACGGAAAAAGTTGTTGCAGGAGGGAGCAGATCGGTTTAATCAAAGTCCCAAGGAAGGCTTGAAGTTCTTGCAAGGTATGGTTACTATTATTATTTTTTGTTTGATCGTCTTGATTTTTTCTCCCGTTTCGTTTTCGTTTCTTTTCTCTTGCTAACATCGCAAATTATCAGAACACGGTTTGCTACCTGATCCTCTCGATCCGACCAGCTTGGCCAAGTTCTTGCGCAACAGTCCCCGAGTTAGCAAGAAAATGATTGGAGAGTATCTTGCGAAACCAAACAATGTGGACGTATTAAGGGCATTTATTCGGTTGAATAATTTCAAGGGGGTGAGCATTTTGTGACTTGTATTAGGTATTTGTTCTTTGGATTAACATTTTTTTTATGTGTTGTTTGGTTGATAGACGCGTCTTGACGAAGGACTTCGATTGCTTTTGGAAAGTTTCCGTCTGCCTGGTGAAGCTCAGCAAATCGAGCGTGTTGTTCAAAACTTTGCCGACGCCTACTTTGACGGAGTGAAAGGAACCCCGCATGCGGTTTTTGCTGAATCCAGCTGCGCTTTCGTATTGGCGTACTCGATCATCATGCTCAACACTGACCAACACAACCCACAAGTTCGACGGAGAATGACACGAGAGGACTTTAAGCGGAATAACCGGGGTTTGAATAACGGAGAGGATTTTGATCCGGCTTATCTTGATAAGGTTTATGATGCTATTCGTGATTCTGAGATTATTATGCCGGAAGAACATGAGGGAGACACTGGGTTTAATTATACTTGGAGGGAGTTGATGAAGAAGGTGGATTCTGCTGGTCCGTTGATTGTTTCACCTAGGGGGGCTTTCGAGAAGGATCTTTTTGGTTGTGTTTGGGTGCCGACGCTTGCTGCTATCTCGTATGGTTGGTGTTTTTATTTTATTTTGATTGTTTTTTTTAAAATTTATTTTTCTTCTGTCTGGTTGCTAATGACGATTTGGTTCTTTCACTGGTTAACAGCATTCGATAATGCTGAGGACCAGTTGACGTTGCAAAAGGGTGTCGTTGCATTCCACCGATGCGCCGTTATTGCTGCTCAGTATCAAATGCACGAGGTTCTTGACAACATTATCGTATCACTTTCGAAAATTACGAATCTTCTTAAGGATAATGGAAAGTTGCCACCCGAACGTAGTCCTCCTCATGAAGGCGAGACGGAGAAGGATCGGGAGAAGCGGGAGGCGCCTCATTTAGATGTTTGGGCTGTTGAGTTTGGACGGAATTATAAGGGTCAGGTTGCGGCTGTTTTGATGTTTAATCTGGC